TAACCCTCAAAAACTAAAAGCATCCGTTATCGTTAGTGACTAAATAGTCAAGAAAAACAACGTTTCACAAAATAAAAAGTAGGCAGTCTTATTCAGCATACCGTTAATTAAATCTATTATTATTTCTTATTACATTTAACATAAAATTAAAATAGTAATACTCTTACTATTCAAGCATATGATCTATTTTTTGTTCCATCAATGTTGGTATTATTTTCAGAAAAAAAAAAAAATGGTAATAGCATCACAATCCATGCAACCATGTATGTTAACCAGAGACCTTTCTCCAAAAACAAATGATTTATTCTTAAATGCCATTTTCTTCTCTTCACTTGATAGAAAACTTTCCGATTTCAGCTGATGGCTCCTTGGCACCAAGTCGGTCAGCAAAAGTATTGTAAAAGGCCATTGAGTCTACCGACTCTAATACTCTAACCCAAGTCCGTTTGTTTTGATCGACAATCATTCTTCCATCGTCACTTTCTTTACCTGTGGCCAACACCTTAACCTTCCTTTCTGAATACCTTGTCGTTCTCAAAAACGAGTCATGGCCCGCTAAGATTGCCGAGCCAAGTATTTCCCCCAAGAACATATCCTGCAATGCAAGTGGTTAAAGGGTTTGTTTGTATTCAATCAATACTCAATTCATAGTCAAAATCTAACTCAACTTTAACCCAACAACACTATCCTTAATATTATCAATATAATTAAATAATACTAACCAATCATTTTTACACATCACATCAACTTTAATTTACTATTCATTCTCTCATAAAATTTTAACTAACTATCACTTCACACAATCTCTCTCCTACTTCTACATCAAATCAACTTTAATTATTTTATTTTAAATATTATCTTAACATAAAATCAAATCCCACTAACAACTAATCATATCACTTTTTTCAAAATTAACTCTAATTAACAAAAAAAAAAAAGAAAAAACACATTTTGAACGGATTTATTTGTATACGAACACGCTCTAAATATGCACTAGCAAAGTTTTATTGGATTTTGGTGTTACGAGAATCTTGTTTACTTACCACATGACGGTAGCTAGGATGAACCTTTTTCAGCCCATCCAATGTTGAGAGCAAATTGGTGGCAAATGCAGCCTCAGGAGTCCTTTTTTTCTGGAGAGCAGATAGAGCCCAACTGATTTGGCGGACCCCACGCTGGACGCCAAGCGGGATGAGTGTGATGTTGAGGCCTGACTCGAAAACCGTCTTTGCAGCCAGGGGGTCTAGAAATATGTTGAGCTCTGCATATTTGTTCTGAGGAATGTTGACCACATTTCCTCTATCGTACATATATTTGCTGATGTGCCCTCCAACCACAATAATTTCCTGCGCAAAAATATTGTTCCGAGGAAAATTGAAGAATATTAAAGCTACGGGATCAGAGAGAGATTATTGTTTTTAGTCACACA